GTTTTGATGTACTCTGCTTGACTGAAACCTGGCTAAAACCAAATGATTATATTGGTCTAAATGAGTCTACTCCACCAAGCTACTGTTATAAGCATGAGCCCCTTCAGACTGGTTGTGGCGGAGGTGTTGCAACAATATATAGTGATATTCTCAATGTTACTCAGAAAACAGGATACAGGTTTAACTCATTCGAAATACTTCTGCTTAATGTTACACTGTCAGATATGCAAAATAAATCTATCGTATCGCTTTCTCTGGCTACTGTGTATAGACCACCAGGGCCGTATACAAATTTCCTAAAAGAATTTGCAGATTTCCTCTCAGACCTATTGGTTACTGTTGATAAAGCGCTAATTGTCGGAGATTTTAATATTCACGTTGATAATACAAATGATGCATTAGGACTTGGGTTTACTGACCTAATAAACTCTTTTGGAGTCAAGCAAAAGGTCACCGGGCCCACTCATCGTTTTAATCATACGCTAGATTTAATGATATCGCATGGAATCGATCTAACTGATATAGATATCGTACCTCAAAGTGATGATGTTACTGACAATTTCCTTGTATCGTGTATGCTGCGTAGGGATGTAACAAATCACTCAACTCACGATTCGATTCATGATTTTGATTTCACGATTTGATTCACAATTGTTTTAACAAAATGAGATTTAAGACAAATTATAAATTAAATGTGGCCTTTTATTATTGCTTGGACAAAATGCTGCACATTTCTTTGTGAAATTGAAATATAACACTATAATAATATACTAATATAGCACTTGTAAATTATTGCTCTTTTGTTGGTTTTGATTGCTTCTATTGTCCTCATTTGTAAGTCGCACCTAAATGAATCGCGATTTGTTTAGCATCTCAACCGATTTGAATCGTCACATACTTGAATCGATTTTCATCCGGCTCACGGTTAATCGTTACATCCCTAATGCTGCATATTACTGATATTAACTATATGGCTCCGTGTTATCGTCCGGGCAGAACTATTGTTCCAGCCACCATAGACAGATACACAAATAACCTGCCTGATTTATCTCAACTGCTTTCTGTACCCATAAATACACATGAACTAGACGAAATGACTAGCAACATGGGCACTATCTTCTCTAATACATTAGAAGCTGTTGCCCCCATCAAATTGAAAAAGTTTAGAGAAAAACGTACTGTGCCATGGTACAACAGTAATACCCACTCTCTCAAGAAAGAAACTTGAGCGCAAATGAAGAAAAACTAACTTGGAAGTTTTTAGAATTGCGTGGAAAAACTATGTCCAGCTATAGACAGGCTCTAAAAGCTGCCAGGGCCGAGCATATCCACAAACTCATAGAAAATAACCAAAACAATCCAAGATTTTTATTTAGCACAGTGGCTAAATTAACAAATAACCAGACGCCACCCGATCTAAATATTCCCTCACAGTTTAATAGTAATGACTTTATGATTTTCTTCACTGATAAAATAGATAACATCAGAAATACAATAGCAAATGTAGATTCTACAGCGTCTAATACTTCAGCTTCATTCACTGCACCCAAAGATAAACTGCAGTGCTTTACAACTATAGGACAGGAAGAGCTAAATAAACTTATCACTGCATCTAAACCAACAACATGCCTGTTAGATCCTGTACCCACTAAATTACTGAAAGAGTTGTTACCTGTAGCAGAAGAACCGCTTCTCAATATTATTAACTCGTCGTTGTCTTTAGGTCACGTCCCAAAACCATTCAAGCTGGCTGTTATTAAGCCTTTTATTAAGAAACCACAACTAGATCCTAGTGAATTGTCAAATTACGGACCCATTTCAAATCTTCAGTTTATGTCTAAAACTTTAGAAAAAGTTGTGTCTGCTCAATTGTGCTCCTTCCTGCAAAAAAAATTATCTCTATGAAGAATTTGTTTCAGGCCCCACCATAGCACAGAAACTGCACTTGTTAAAATTACAAATGACTTGCTTCTTGCGTCAGACCAAGGCTGTGTCTCATTGCTAGTTTTACTTGACCTTAGTGCTGCATTCGATACTATAGATCATGACATACTCATAGATCGATTACAAAACTATACAGGTATCCAAGGGCAGGCTTTAAGATGGTTTAGACCCTACCTGTCCGATCGCTACCACATTGTTCATTTAAATGGGGAGTCATCTCAATTATCACCAGTAAAACATGGAGTGCCACAAGGATCTGTCCTAGGTCCTCTGCTATTTTCGATATACATGTTGCCACTTGGTAATATTATTAGGAAATACGGGATTAGTTTCCACTGTTATGCCGATGATACTCAACTATATATCTCAACAAGACCAGATGAAACTTCTAAATTATCTAAGCTAACGGAGTGTGTTAAAAATGTAAAAGAATGGATGACCAATAATTTTCTCCTATTAAATTCGGATAAGACAGAGATATTACTTATTGGACCAAAAGACAGTACGCCGAATCTCGTGGATTACAATTTGCAACTAGACGGATGCACGGTTACCTCCTCTACAGTCAAAAATCTGGGTGTTATATTAGATAGCAACTTGTCTTTTGAAAACCATATTTCCCATGTTACAAAAACGGCATTCTTCCATCTTAGAAACATTGCCAAGTTACGAAACATGATACCTGTTTCTGATGCAGAAAAGCTAGTTCATGCATTCATGACCTCTAGACTGGACTACTGTAATGCACTGCTAGGTGGTTGTCCTGCATCTTCAATAAACAAGCTACAGATAGTCAAAAATGCAGCGGCTAGAGTCCTTACCAGGTCAAGAAAATATGATCATATTACCCCAATTTTACAGTCTCTGCACTGGCTACCTGTTAAGTTCCGTATCAGTTACAAAATATTATTACTTGCCTATAAGGCCCTTAATGGGTTAGCTCCTGCATACCTAACTAGTCTTCTACCACGCTACAATCCATCACGCTCCCTAAGGTCACAAAACTCTAGACTTTTGGTAGTACCTAGGATAGCAAAGTCCACTAAAGGAGAGCTAAACCTTGTTGACATAATGACTACAATAAGTAAATCTAGCCAGCACATTAATTAAGATGATAAAGATGATAAAATGTTGATGTGAGATGTGTCAGATTTACCTGTAGCTTACTGTATTAGTGTGAAAACTTGTTTGATACTCATTATTTTAGCATATTAGTTAAGTATAAATCATCTTTCATAATTAAACTGGGCTCATTGCTTGGTTGCACCACAATATGTGTTATTAGCCTGTCCTTTTGGCAGTACTTTCGATTAATCTTGTTGATGTTTGAAAGGCATGGTCAGCGGTTTGCCTTCTAGACTGATGAGGCCAGAAACGTGCTCCAAGGAACTCTTCAGCCAGTGTACAGAGCGCTATCTCTGAGGAAATCCACATTCAGGCTGTCGATGAGCACACTGCAGAGGTAAAGAGACTGCTGGACCTCATTGTAAAGTTACAGGGATCTGAGGAGCGTTTAGTGGTACTTAAACAAACAATGTTCACATTTAATCATCATTACAAACAAACTCATAGTAAAGGTTCACCAAGGGCCTTAATTAGGAATAACATTAACAATATCTTTTAACTTTGCTGCAAATTATTGTATTTTTATCTTAAATGTATCAATTTCCTCAAAATAACTGTTTTTGCACCATGGTTTGCCCATAGGGTGTACTCAACGAGAAGCCCTCTAAGTGGTCTCATAAGCTAACCTCCTCCCGAGTTCCTGTCTACCTCGACAGTGAGGAACAACTATCTGAGAGGAGTGCTGCAGAGGACACCAACACAACTGAGCTTCACAGATGAAGTGCAGAGGTATGCCGGACCATGTAATGTGTTTGTGAGTGTCCTGCCCCTGCACTTACAAAATCTACTGTATAAACTGCATGCTGGTGCTACTCGTGTATGGACCAATGTATAATGGCTTGCTGTTCAGTAGTGCTATAATAGTATACTTAAATTAACTGTTTTGTCACAGGCCATCATATATGCCCTGGCTGTCCTACGGAATTTCTCATTGCAGGAGGCTGAGCAGCTCTTGGTCTGGATTATTATTACAGGTCAGAGTAGAATGTGAATTATTTTTGCACAATGCCCAGTGCACCTTTTGTTACTGATATTTCTGTTAACCCAACAGTGATTGTTAACTATTTACTGATAACTATTTCAGTGAAGTGGAAGATTTTAATAGAAGGATTG